AAAGACAACAAAAAAAAAACAAAATAGATATAAAAATAGTGTTATTAAGCTTAATTTGTAATATATATATATATATATATATATATAAATCAAACGGAGTATAAATGGTTATTATGGCACTTTTTTCTTTTTCAATTTTCGGCTGCAAAAAGCTTCTATTTAATAATTTCTTCCTTTTTAATATTATAATTTTTTTTTTCGATTTTCGAATACAATATTAATGGTGCTTTTGAATAAATGTCCGAAAATAGAGGATGTTAAGTGGTAAATATCACGTGGTAAATAAAATTGTGTAACAACTTAAGTTTACTACTAGTAGATATTGTTTGTTTTGATTCGTTACGTAACGTTATCAATTTCACGGTCTTAAAACGCATATGATGGGAGAAGTTTCCACACCAACCATTACAAGGAATATTTTGTTTCTCTCTACAATCGTAGAATCTTGCAATATAATATTAATACACTTTAGTATATTTCAGTCGATACGACATAGACTCTCAACCAAAAAAAGTATATCTTTGAATTATCACTTCTCGTTTGGTTGAATTTTAAAAAAGTTGATACCGTTAAATAGCCATTTTGAATTATTATTTTATAATTTACTTTATTTACCGTCTCTTTCTTCGAGGGTCAATGACGTGAATTATTTGTATACAACTTTTAATTTTTCTTCTCTTCATATCATCATAGTTTTAACTTACGACAAGTATAGTATCTATCGACTATCATTCTAAATGTTCTTTTAGTCTAAATTACTGGTTGAAATATTATTTTTTTAATCTCGATATAATTCCAACGATTTACTTTATACAAACATTTAGAATTTGAATAATCGATTAAATCAATCATTTTATTTATTTATTTATTTCGTATGTGGATTAATATAGTTGGTATTTTTTTATTAATAATATTTAGGTATGAGTTGACAAGGGTGAGAGGAGAGAAACCAGAAAAAAAAAAAGAAAAAAAAAAAGGACAGGCGAGAGATGAGAAATCTGAGCCGTTGATGAGAAGGCGGGGCCGAGGAAAAGATCTGATGAGACGTGATGTAAGACGGTGGAACCTCTTTGATTGGTGGGTTATTAAATGTATTGTGTAACAACGACACAAATAATTATTGTCCCACGTTCCAACGTCAATAATCACTTACTAACGGCCTAACTATACTTCTAGTAAATACTGTCTGTTTAAAATTCTTCTTTCAAGCTTTTCTTAGGTAAGAATATTTCCTTATTATCTTTGACCCTCTGAGATTTCACAATCCACTCTCTTGGAGACCCAGCGTTCCATACTGACACATCACTCATGTTTCACTCTAATACTATTTGTAACAGCTCAATCTTACATATGACCGTCAGTCTCTTGATTTTTAAATGAGTCTGATATGGAGAGTGTCTAACCCTACTCCATCTAGTGTCTTGCACTGTTCGATAACTGAATCTAATACCATTCGTAACAACCAAAGTCTACGACTAGCAAATATTGTCCTCTTAAAATTTTTCCTTTCGGTCTTTTCCTTAAGGTTTTAAAACACGTTTTTTCGGTAGAGGTTTTCACACTCTTATATAAAGTATGATTTGTTTTTCTCTCAAACCGATGTGAGATTTTTTTTTACCACCATCCTTATTCTTTTTTACCTCACTTTCGAGTATAAAATCTATTCTTACTAAATTTTCCAACACGAAAATGATGGAAGAAAAACTCGAGTAAATTAATAGGCATGATTTGTGAGAAACACGTAGGATTGATTTAATCCGAGAAGGGTGGGAATTGTCGGCTAAAAATAATAGAGATAATGAAAATTTAAAATTAAAACATATCATATATATATATATACATGGATGTAACATGGCAACTATTGAATCATGGTACGGTTAGGGGACATGAACATGATTGTTTGGTCATGAATCAACTCCAATGGACAACTCTCCAGCTCCCATTTCTTTTCTTTTTCTTTTTCTTTTTCTGTTCGTATGAATTAATTATATATATTTTTCGTACTTATTTAACTAATTAATTAATTGCTTTGATTACAGCACATCGTTTTCCATTAATCATTCTGATTAACTAAACAATCATATGATTTAGAAACCCATCCTGTCTGTGTTTTGTCTAAATGTTTGGATAAATTTGTTGTATTATCTCAAATTTTTATGGGTCTTTTTAACTCGTTTTCGTTTCTAAACTAAAATAAAATATTAAATTATATTTTTTTAATTCGTTTGTAAAACATATATAACTTATCATAAATAAAGATATTGTCTGCTTTAACGTGTTACTAACTATATTTTCACACTTTTATAAAAAAAAATATTTTATTTTTATATATTTGTCGGGGGAGAGAGAGAAAGAAGGGAAGAAAGTGAAAGGTGGAGAGAGAGAGAGAGAGAGGGGAATGGGAAAGAAAAAAAAGGAAGAGAAGCGAAGAAAGGGACGGGTGAGGGCTTAGATTTGTGGGGCCCACTCGTAAATTCCCTGATTAGATTTTCCTCGTTCCACTTTCTTTGACGCCACTCCCCCCATCCCCACGCGCCCACCGCCAAACCCCGACCCGACCCGACCGCCTTTAACCCGAATTCCTAAATATATTTTTAATATTTATTTAACAAAAATAAATAAAATAAAAACTATTTGCATGCAAATCCAGAAGCAAATACGTGCACGTTTGAAATTAATAATAATAAGAAGAGGGCACCAACCAATTATCCCTTTGAAAAATAAATAAATAATAATAATAATAATAGGGAATCAAATGCTAATTAGCCACTACTTTACGACTAATAAGTAAAGTTAATGAAGAACAAATAATCTGTAAAGCCATATATTGTGGGGCCCTCTCTCTTTTAATCATGTTTGTTTGTTTGTGTGTCTTTGTTTCATGGGACCCCTCAAATCCCACTTTCAATTTCTTAATTAGTTTAGTTAGTCGTTAATTATGTTCTCTAACTTTGTTTTTCAATTTGTTCCTTTTAAATTTTAATGATGTTTGTTTTAAGGAAAAAAAGAATCTTTGTCACTGTCGTGAGATCATGTATTGGTTGGATAGTGTAACGAAATATTTCTTATAAGAGAATGAAAACTTCTCTTTAGTAGATACGTTTTAAAATTATGAAATTAACGAATATAGGTAACGGACAATATCTACTAGTGGTAGGTTTGAGCTGTTACAAATGACATGAGAGTCAGTTACAAGAAAAAAGAAAAAACATTAGATAGAGAGAGAGAAAAGAAAGAGAGGAGAGAGGAAGCAAGAAAACAAGAAAGCAAGAAAGCAAAGAAAGTCTGTGTTAAGATTTTTTTGTTGATCATGTTTTGGGCGACATTTGAGTTTTCAAACAGAACCCACAGGTTTGAATTAGCGAAAATATTAATAATAATTAAAAACATAATAATAGTGTTTTGTTTATTTTTAAAAAAATCATTTTTGATGTTTTTAGTGACAATTCCTTCTCTAATCATATCCATATCATGATGAAGCTTAGTGAGAAAAAAGGCCAACATTCCCCATTATTGCTAATCATTTTCTTGTTTAGTCAAATCCCTTCATTTTGATTTTGGTTTGCATTAATTAATCAATCTAATCTCCCTTCTTATATCATCAAAATGATATATAGATGATTTTTTATAAAAAAATTTAATTAAAAAAGGTAAGCCATTAGAATAAGTATATTTTTGGTAAAGTATAGATGAGATGTTTTTTGTTTCAGAATTTAAAATTTGGGTTTGATTGTTGATGGCCACCGTTAGCAGACATTGTCCGTTTTTTCTGTTATGTATCGTCGTCAAGCTCATGGTTTTAAAACGCGTATGTTGGAGAGAGATTTTCACTCCCTCTCCAACGGATGTGGGATCTCACAATTCACTCATTTGAGGACCCAACTGACTAGATTTTCACTCCCTCTCCAACGGATGTGGGATCTCACAATTCACTCATTTGAGGACCCAACTGACTAGAGATTTCCTTGTTTCGTTCTCCTCTACAACGGATATGGGATCTCAAAAAATAAAAAAAAAAACAAAATATTTGATTTCACCCATGGGATCCAAATTTGAACAACTTTTTAGGTATGGAAAAAGATAATTAAAATATTGTTTGGAGTAAAAAATAGAAATGTATGGAGGCTGCCAATTCCAAAGCATATAAAATTAGGTTTGGTATAAGTAACATCACTTACTCACTTTATAATTAATAATGTAATATAAAATTAATGTCGCCCATCTTAATTATTATAATTATTTTGTCGTTTATATATTATCATAAGGTAAAAATAGTTAAATATGAATTGAATTCATCCGGTGTTACTAAATGTGAGAAGTGATAGAGTTTAAAATGATGAACTAAATTAACTTAATTATAAATAATATAATGAATGAGGAAATTTGGAGTTAATACAAAAAATTTAAAAGAGATTGGATTAATGCCTTGAAATTGCAAGCCTTGTTAATTGAATAATATGTAGTGTATGGATAAATTTAGCATAAAAGGATGGGTTTTTAGCTTCGGGGATAGCATTTTTCTTTCATGAAAAAACATATAATTAATCTTCAATGATGTCAAAAAATATTTTCCATTAAAGGAAGCTTTCCTTTTTTTTTTCTTTCTAAAATTGTAAATTTTAATCAAAATTTGCTTGCTTTATTCTTTCTCATCCTTTTTAATTTCTACTTTTTAGTCCCTAAATTATGCAAAGCACCATCCATGATTAGCCTTGTAGCTTTTGAAATTAGACCTAGAAAGAGAGAAGCTTTTCTAATTATTTGTTGGGGCTGGTTGAAGTTAATTTTGATATTCCAACTTTTATATTTATTTTGTGCCAACTTTTCAAGATGGGGTACTCAAAAATTATTTTGAATACGAAATAAAACGTGTGTAGATATAGTACATGTAATTCTAAGTCGTGTTTTGACTATAGACATGTAATTCTAAGTCGTATTTTGACTATAGAGCATAAGAAAAGAAAATCTTTATGAAAAAAAAAAAAAAAAGAGATTATATATATATATATTTATTGAAAGCCTTAATAGTCCCTCTATAAAAGACTCAAGAAAACCTCTTAAATGTTAAAAATGCAAACCTTCATGCCTCATTTGAACTGAGATTAAGATGATTTGGCCCATGAATTCAGTCATTTTCACCAATATCAATTGCTTGGGCCAAGGCATCATCCAGATCTGCCACCTGTTTTAAAGGAAAGACAATGAGAATAAAATGAGTGGCACGTCAATTTTTTAAGGTTATTTATTCGTCGTTCAATTTAAATGAATGATCGATCCGTCGGTCTTTTTCTTAGCACTGACATAATCATGGGTATCCAAGATTTATGAGCATCTTGACCCATGGGGCAGTCACCTAAACCTACGTTGTGAACCATGGCCTAAACTTGTGATTTCAATGTATCAGAGCTTAGCTTACTCCTTAACCATGAGACTAAGTGATATCAATTTACAACATAAGAGAATATTAGAACGAGCGAAGAGTAAACTTCTGTTTTTATCCAAGATCGAGTTGTACAAGTCCTCCTCAAAGATTAGAAATAATGAATTCTCAAACTAAAAGCACATGATTCCAAAAATTCCCATGTTTTAATTCCAGAAACCAGCAATTAATTTCACCATAGACCACCGATCCCCGCAAAATACTTTATGGGCCGAAGGTTTGTATGCATGTGAGCTTTTTAGGGCCGAAATTGTAACCGCCCAACTCAACCCACCACTAACCAATATTATTTTTTTGGGCTTTTCTTCAAAGTTTTTAAAACATGTTTATCAGGGAGAGGTTTACACCCCATTATAAACAATGTTCCTTTTCCTTTTCCTTCCAACCGATATGAGATCTTACTATTAGCACAAGCACATGGAATAGAATCAATAGGAGATTATTGAGCATCAAAATAGAATCAACTAGCCTCTTTCGAAAAAGTCCTAGACATTCAATGGATCCAATGGATTTCCAAATTCTACATGCTTCTGTATGACCATATCTTTGAGCCTTGTAGAGGCCTAGTCCAATTGTCTTTTATATACAACCAAGCATATCGTGCACTTGGACTAATTTTACAGACCATGTGATCTTACTACATTTAGTGGCAATTGGGAAGGGTACTAATATGATATTAACTCCTAAGTAGATTGTCACAAACTCATTCTTTCTGAGCCATGTAGTTTTTTCATCAGTCCCAATAACTAATGGGGTCAACCTATTATAGTTGGGACCTAGTCCAAATTAGAGGGAAAATGATCTAATTTTAAGTTTCATTCAGCTCAAAGATATACAGCGTTTATCTTCCCTGTACTTAAGTCTTCTAAAACTATGAACTACATGCATCCTAATTAACTTTGAGCATCTTTCAGCTGCTGACATTCAATGCATCCTAAACTAGTCTAAATAAGTATGCTTAAGATAAATGAAAACTTCTGTATCATAATCCACCCAAGCTACGACAGAATACCTCTCTTCCTTGTAAAGATGTCGCCAGCCCTGTATAGAGAAGCTTCGGTTAATGTTGGATGTTCACCATAAAGCTTTATCAGCCCAGTCCCTGCCATTGCTTGGAGAAAAACCTACAGATATCATAAACAAAGAAGGCCGGCACAAAGATTAAAAGACCGTCTTCCTCATTTTAAACAAGTTCTAGATTGTGTATGGTGCCATAGTCTAAATGCAAGAAAAACTAGATCTGAGAAGAGCACCTTCAAGATCGACAGATTTTTTTATGTACGAAAAAATTATGTCATCTTTAATCCTAATTTACACTGCTTTGATCAATGCATTTCCAACGACAGTAATCATACTGAAAATGAACCTACAAACGGAGTCTGGATATTCAACAGAAAATTGATGCGCGATAAGACTGATCGCAAGAAAATATGAGCTAAGAGAAAAAAAACCCTTCTTATAATAGGGAGAAAAAAAAATTGCCAGAGATTGGATAACGGTTTCCCGGCAAGACATCCATTTGCATATATTACTCCTTCAGTATCTTTAGATGTTAGAAATCAACCCCATTCTTCGCTAGGTTATAGCAAAGTAACATGCTCTGTACAGTTCATTTGATCGACATTCAAACTACAATTCATAAACTGGATAGCGAAAACAAAACAGAATGAAGGCATGGAGTAGACAGGGAAGCCATCTTCAATCCAGAAGAAACCGTATATATATCAGCACATATTTTCACATTACAACACTACGAAATAGTACAAATCATGGGGAAAACCATTATTCTCTGCGAATTCTTTTTCACGATCTTCATTCAACAATTACACTGCGAAATTACACTGAAGAATCGACCATATTGAAGCCGGAAAACCATAACATTGTCCAACAAACAGACAAATCATCGTCCATTTTACCAAAATTGGGGAGGCTATTAACATGTAAATAAAAAGAGGTCTGGAATGCAAAACTCACAGTTGACAACGGAGCAAATAGGTCCGGGTGCGATCAACTCCGGTGGGATTTCGACTGAGCTCGCCGGAGAATTACTAGCGGGTCAAGCTGAGATTTTCGCGCTCCCACTGCCCGGCAAATGAAATAAATTGTAAAAATTTGAAGTGGATGAGTTTAAATAATAATAATAATAATAACTCTTTGGAAAAACAATCATTAATCCTAATCTAGTTGGATTAACGAGCGTAATGTTAAATTAATTACATTTCCAAATTAGTAAGTATGGTGGACAAAATTTTCATTATTCCTAAATTAATTATCTTTCCAAATTAGTGTAATTTTTTATTTGATTATATTTCAACTAAAATGTAAGGGCCACCGTAAAATAAGAAAATTGTAAAGATTTTGAACATGAACACGAACTTATAATTTTGAAGTTTTTAACCTCACACTCGAGTTACAATTTTAGAATCCTTTCAAACGAACCCTCAGGGTCTTTGTCCTAATTCCAAAATAAGGAGCTAAACGACTCTTATACTCAATTCCCCACCTTATTTATCGGGCTAAGATTTAGAAAATTTTTCTTTCGTTCAAGGACGTGTAGGGTTAGAAATTTAAAGTCGTAATATTTTATTGGAACGGGAAGACACGGGGGTTTACCGTGAATGGACGTAAAATCTAACACAAAAAAAAAAAAAAAATTGAAGCATTTAATTATAATTGGACAAAAAAAAGTGGAGAATTTAAAGAAAATAATTTGATTGGGTGAGAATATTGATCAAAATGAGAATGATACCTACCAACCAAAAGTTTTTGGAAGTTGTTTTACATTTTAGTCCCTCAAAGGTGTTCTTATTTTCATTTCATGGGTTACTTCAATCTATCACCTCAGCTTCCTTCTTCATCCTTTCCGATTTGTTGATGTTTATGAGACCTTCGTTTCTGTATTCAATCTAACCTTCCGCTCGCGTTTCTTCACCCAAACTGTTCCCCCGTTAACTTGATCTTTGCCGATTTGTTGGTTTCGATCAGCATTTCCTAAATAGGGCTTCATCGGATGTGATTCAACTAAGATCCCGAAAAGAAACGACGAACCCCTGTGATTTTGAGGCTCCATAGCAGTTTTAATGTTTCCAATTGAAATGTGTTTGTTTGTTATATCTGAAATTTGGTGATTCCTAAACCCCGTTTTTCACGTGCATTCCATCTTCTGGTTACCGCGGTATGTTCTTGCTTGTATATGAGAGTTTTGTTGTCATATTGCATCGTATTGACTCACGTTCGGTGAGTCAGAAGAATTTGTTCGTGTAATTTATGGTTGCTGTAGAGTACGTTTGAGCCTGTTGTTAGATTTTTTTTTTTTTTTCCTTTTTCTTTCCATTTTGTAGATGAAGAAGCTTAAAACCGAACCTCCGGTTGCGAGGAGGCTCAGGTTTTCGCATCTTCTTCTCGCAATTGGAATGTTGTATTTAGTTTTCATATCATTTAAGTTTCCACGTTTTTTGGAAATTGCCGCAACGTTGAGCGGGAATGAAAGTAATATTGGGTTGGATGGGACAACCGGAACGGACAGTGAAGGGGTGGATTTAAGCAAAGCATCGTTGAGTTCTGTTTATAAGGATACATTTCATCGGAAATTGGAAGATAACCAGCACTTACAAGCGCCATTGCCGCCTAAAAAAGAGCCAATTGGAGAGGTGAACAATGTTACTGGACCCATAAAGCCAATTCAACATAAATATGGTCGGGTAATTGGTAAAGTTTCGAGTCTGCAGAATCATACCAATGATTTTTCTATGCTCGAGAAAATGGCAGATGAAGCTTGGACATTAGGCTTGAAGGCGTGGAAAGAAGTAGATAAAGTTGGGTTAAATGAGACTAATGAGAGTTCTGTACTCGAAGGAAAGCCCGAGACATGTCCTTCATGGATATCTACGGATGGGAAAAAGTTATCCGAGGGAGATGGAATCATGTTCCTTCCTTGTGGACTTGCTGCAGGTTCATCTATTACATTAATTGGAACCCCTCAGCATGCTCATGAGGAGTATGTTCCCCAACTCTTGAAGGTGGGAGGTAATCCTAAGGTTATGGTCTCGCAGTTCATGATTGAATTGCAAGGATTGAAATCAGTTGACGGTGAGGACCCACCAAAGATCCTTCACTTGAATCCACGACTGAAAGGCGATTGGAGTAAACGGCCGGTCATTGAACATAATACATGTTATAGGATGCAGTGGGGAACGGCTCAAAGGTGTGATGGATTGCCATCAAATAGTGACGATGAAATGCTTGGTGAGACTATCCATCCCTTCCATTCTTTTTTTTTTTTTTTTTTTTTTTTTTTTTTTTTTTTTTTTTTTTTTTTTTTTTTTTTTTTTTTTTTTTTT